CCTCTTACTCATAAGCTAAAGCCATTAGCGTTTGATGGCATACATATGGGCACAGATAAATATATAGCGTAATCATCTACAGTAAACGTTAAATGTTCCGGATCAAATCTGCTATTAAATAATTCACACACATATCCTTCTAATTATGATATCATTTCACAATTGACTTTTCAAGAACATCCACCAACTCCAGTTGACGTCCAAACGACCAAATTCTCTCAAATATTTCCGAACTATCAACTATTCAACTTCCTCGAAAATCTGCACAAATAGCCACTATGAAAATGTAGGAAATAGCCTCAGAAGTACGAAGAGTTACTCAGAAAAGAAGAAAGTCACAAACTTAGAGGCATGAACCCACCTGAAGTCTCCTTTGAAGAGCGCATGAAGGCCATAGAGGAACGACTCGGCAGCGTTCGCATGGCGATTGTGTGCAGCAGAGGCCAACGCTCGTCTCCCGACAACCGAAAGCGCGAAACAGAACGCTATCACACGTTGAATACCGCCATCCTCATCGCTCCTTCAACCACAACAAAATTCTTTCATTCTTTAAATTATCCGCAAAAAATTTTCCCACCGCACAAACGAGATTTATCAATAATACTTCGGACTTATCTGAGCGGAAATTTTTTTCAAAAATTTCAATGAAAATAAATTTTGCATTCCGAAAATTTTTGCAGGAATTTTCCAGTAAAAATTTCACTGCACACTGCAGCAGAAACCAAATCTCTGAATCGATGAGAACAAATCAAATCGTGAGCTATATTCACTCTAGCGCTTACAGAGGAGTATCATGCAGAGCACGTTCTTGAATACAATGTCTGATCCATGGCTCGTACAATTCCGCGAAACTGTGCCGTGAAACACCCTGAAAACGGTTCACATAATCGTTTTCTTATGAAAGATAATCTATGTCGCTTTATGCCCAATCAAAAACTTTCAGTGATCTTTTAAGCTTTCTTATTCAAATACGACAATCTGACGTTCCAAAATATCCTCTGAATAGGGCCTTTCAGCATTGATATCTCGAAATGTTCACCATCAAATTCATATCAAAATCCTCATCGTTCGCTGCACCGAACATCGGATCCAAATCGACGTAACGAGATGACGACTCGATTGGACGAAGAGCAGTGACCTGGAAACGGAATGCTCAAAAAGTTTCAGAAAAAATTTAAAATTCAGAAGAATAAATCTTTCGAAGAAAAATCAACAATTATTATGAATATCTTTTAAAAACGGTCGGATATCAAATGCAATGATATCAAAAACGTTTGAAAGTATTACTATTGTAGGTGTTTTGAGCCATTGTGATAATTTTGACGATGTCAACGCATAATAGATGATACATTTAACATAAAGCGTTACCAGCAGACGACGTAACTCGTGAACCTTGAACATTACTAGGGTTATTATTCTTATTGATGTTATCTTTATTATCAATATTATTTATTATTATTAAAATTTCGATACATTAATTATTATCATTGTTATGATTATTACTATTATTATTGTTGTTATTATTATTACTATTATTATTATTACTACTATTAATATTATTTCGACCTACTGGTCCCTATTGTAGAGACCGCATTATCCCAAAGAAACAAAACGAATACCCACAACAACCAAAACCTCATCCAAAAATGAGCCATCGCAAACGAAAAACACTTCAGAATTCCTCACCGAAACACACAAAAGTCTACAAAAACACTCACTTGTAAAAGATTAACAGCTGAATTATCTGTGATTGAATATCCGTCAACGATATACTTCGCTGTGACCACCTCCCAAGCCAGCCACCGTAGTACCCAAGCCGTGTTCAGCGATAACATACCCGGCAAAGAACCAGGCGAACAACAGCAGCAACCCACACCTTCCGTTACATCCTCACTTATTGCCTCGACCTGCAAATCAAACTGCTTGCCCAAACAAGCAAAAAATAACTATGTCCATGAAAACAAAAACCAAATAATCGCTCTTTGAGAATTATAATGGCACTGACATTCAGATAATATTTTGTCAGTTGATGAAAGAATGTAATGATATTCAGAGTTTTCATATCTACCTACATCAAATCGCTTGCGATAAAACAATGCAAACAAGCACCTCTCGTTGATGACAGTACGTCCCTCGAAATTCCAATCCTCTCAGTTGAAACGTTACGAAGCCATTACCAACCTCGATAATATGCACAAGGCTATTCAAATAGAAACTGCAACAGATTAACTTTTCACTAAACACCCGAGAACGCAATTTCACACTTTAAAGTTTAAACATTCCAAAAGTTTTCCAACACCGAACAGCATCGCTCTCTCACCGCCACATCGTTGCACCGTCGCACTATCAGAAACCAATCAAACATCCAAAAGCATCCCATTGAAATGTGCTCAACATTCGTACTTTCCCCTCTCAGTCCGAACCTCTCAAAGTACGAAATGTTTACTGTCAACTACCTCGCCAAAATGAAACAATCTCCGGGCTGCACTGATGAACTCCACCGTCCCAATAACAAGTCGCCAGCTAACGACGCTTGCAAGGATCTCGTTAAGTGCTCGTAGAACACCGCATTCAAATTACTATCGTCCATCATCGGGCCACGATCGATTTGCGATATGAGTCGTGTGTTCGAATGATCCACTCGTCGTGTATTGTAGTCTTTCTCCCAAAATTTCACTGGTCGCACATATGAAGTGAGGAAAAACGATGAGCCTGAAGCAAATTCGACAATAACTCTTTTCAGTGAATTACTAAGTCCTCCAAAGTATGACTACGCAATAAATAAATGAATATGTGAATAAATAAATAAGTGTTCAATTGCACACACCCGAAGGATTCAATCTGACGCGTCCAGCGAAACATACCCGGATTATTTTTGAAAACTTTGTTTCTGATGAGATTTGAATCAAATAAAGCTATACTTTCAGACCAGCCCGCAGACCAATCAGATCGTGCAACTCACAGTCTCGCTCGAAGTCTACTGTTGAATTGACGAAAGACTCAACCTAATAAACTCAACTACTGAATGATCAAAAAAGTGCTCACCAAGAAATGGATTCAACGGTGCCGAAACAACGGATGAGATGAGCGTTTGGGCACACACCAGCGCAGTATGCGGTACACTGAACGGCTGTGCGAACGCGTGAAATGCTGAACCCCAACTGAAAATATCACCGAATACAATTAGAAAACGAATGTAAAATCAAAAAAAANAAAAAAAATCAATTAAAAACGAATACAATATAATATAATTACTATTATTATGTTATTGATCATTACTATTATTATGTTAACATTATAATATTTTGTTGATCATTACTATTATTATGATCAGCACCACCGTTATTGCAGCAACTAACTTAACATCAATAATAAACACAACTGATATTATAACTTCACAACCCGTCCAAAATCACAGCAATCATAAACCTGATTTGCCAAGGAGCAACATAAGCCAGGATGAAATTCAATTTCAACGCCACTTCCATAGCTTTCGGCCATATCAGAACGGATAAATAAACGATCAATGGGAAGTATGCATCGATATTCGTCAAAACACTGAGATCGGCGTGAATCAATAAAAACGAGAACGCCAATGGAATGTACAACAATTGCGGTTGGCAGTATGCGGATCGCAGTAAACGCAGTGAAAAGAGTGCGAGGAAATATGGGTGCAGAGTCCATTTGTTCACTGATATTGTACTGACTATCATCAGTGGATACAGCTGAAATTTCGAAATTGCAGATTGCAGATTCAATAACAAAATTTTCGNCTGACTATCATCAGTGGATACAGCTGAAATTTCGAAATTGCAGATTGCAGATTCAATAACAAAATTTTCGATCTAAAAATATCTCGCAAAAATTCAGCGTATTTGAAAACATTCGGCTGAAAATTCAAAGCATCTTGCAATAAGAAATTTTGAAAAAAAAATCAGTTTAAAGAAAAACTTACAATATTCTTCTCGATTGTAAGCATATAGAAATGGATAATTTCGAAAATCATCAGCTTTGCGGCATTCGGTGACTCGAATTGTGCGAATTCGTGAGCTCTCAAGATCGGACGTGCCACTAGACGCCATGGTGTGGCACTCCTCAGCTCCATATACAAATAATGATTCACAAAGCCGAACATCACACACAATCCACACAATCCTATCTGTAACATTACTACCTTCTCGTTGCGCTAGAATGGAGAGCAATTTCATCTTCCGAAGGCAGGCACTTCTTGTTGCAACGTCGAGAAATCGCTTTCCCTGATGAAAATCCACGATGGATAAGCAGATCCTCTACCCACTAGCACATACTTTCCATCATGACGGAAAACGCTATTCCCCTATCTATCAGCTGATCTGATGTATACTTTATGCACAAACAAACAGAAAACGTACCTGAAGATACGGCTGTGCAGCGCTGAACATCGACGTACAATGAAGTGCGAAGAATATGAGC